TCAGTGAAAGTCTGATGAATAACAATTGAATCTACACATATTAAATAGTGATCATATAATTAGTTATGACTTAGATGTTTTATAGATAATATCTTGAATCTTCTCAACAACTCTGCAAGGTAGATATAATTATCCTCATTTTGCATATGGAGATCTTGCAAAAGCTCAAACTGTTAGTAAATTATAGAGCCAGAATTCAACTAGACCGAATGAAAAAAGCCATGTTTTTTTTTCTGTGATTCTATGCACACTGAAAAATTGATTAAAAAGTAGTGATTATATCCTAAATTATAATATAGGGAAAAATACCCATTTCCTAAAATTGTTAGAAGATTAAGTGACATAATGTATATAAAGTGTCAGGGCAGTGCTTAGAAATGCTAGGTTTTATTAAACATTGGCTTCCTTCGATGTTGAGGGCCATAGCACAGACATCCTTAATTTCTTTTTTCTTTTTAAGTTTTTTTAATGTTTATTTATTTTTGAGAGAGAGAGAGAAAGACAGAGTGCAGGCAGGGGAGGGACAGAAAGAGAGGGAGAGACAGAATCCAAAACAGGCTCCAGGTTCTGAGCCATCATGGTGTGGGGCTCGAGATCGTGACCTGAGCCAAAGTCAGATGCTTAGCCAACTGGACCACCCAGGTGCTCCTAGCATCCTTAATTTCTGAGAAAGACCGAAGTGTTTTACCCAGCCTCCTCAATGCCCCTACACATGCTTACACTCATATGAAAGTCATGTGAAACAGACCACCTCCAGGGCTATCCACTTTAACTCAATCTTCTTTGTATATGCCTCTGATGGTCAAAGAAAGTGAAATTGAGAAATAACAAGTAGTACTGAGGCCATTCAACCTTTCTCTGTGTATTTGTGCTTATTGGTGAAGGTTGTGGTAGAAATAATGGCAGAAAAGGAATCAAGCCTGGAGGCTTACCAGGGCTATGTTGCCTTGGTGAATTTCCAGAAAATCATTGTGAGTATTCTCAATGATTCTTCTCTTCCTGTTCTCTTACCCAGCAATGCTATGTTACAATCAGGACCACTTTCTTTACCACCTCAGGAAACTTTGTAGGAAAGGGGAAGGAGAAGTATGAAACGGATAAACATTAATTGTAGGCCAATGCTGGTCTGCAGGCCTATGTGGAGGTGCTGAGCTCCTGAAAAGTAAATTCACGCAACTGAAATGTAAAGATATGTTGCTACTGAGCTGTCTAGAGGAAAGGGAAAGAGATTCCTTTATAACCTTCAGATCCCTGTAACTTCCCTAAAAAAAGCAATATAGAGAAATTGCTCAGTTGCTATGGGTACTTGACCAAGGGTAAAGGAAACTCATGGGTTTCAGGGTAAGATAGTCGCTCTTCTATTGATTTTCCTGATACACACATTTCAAGTTAACAATGGAACCAATCCCTTGCCCCTAGTTAGAGGAAACCTTCTCACCAACCTGTGCTCTTATTTATTTTAGATCAAACATACAGAAAAGTGATACATAATATATAATATTATATAATTATATTATATAATATAATATATAATATAATATAATAATATATACTAT